TCTCACACTGGTCACATTGGTAAGGTCTCTCTCCTGTGTGGACATGCTGATGTAGTGAGAGCTGCTGTTTGGTCCTAAATGTTTTTCCACACTGGTCACACTCAAATGGTTTCTCTCCGGTGTGGATTCTGCTGTGGACCTTGAGATTTGCTGCTTGAGAAAAACATGTTCCACACTGATTACACTTGTATGGCTTCTCTCCAGTGTGGTTCTGATGGTGACGTGTGCGCTCTTCTGTAGTTCTAAAAGTTTTACTGCAGAAGTCACATGCAAACGGATTTTCTCCCGTGTGAATTCTCTCATGTCTTTTGTAGTTTGAAAACTGAGTAAAATCCTTCCCACAGTCTCCACAGACGAATGGTTTCTCTCCTGTGTGGATTTTGTAGTGCTTAGTGAGGCTAGATAATTGTGTAAAAGTCTTCTCACACTGGTAACATTGGTGAGGTCTCTCTCCTGTGTGGACATGCTGATGTAGTGAGAGCAGCTGTTTGATCCTAAATTTTTGTCCACACTGGTCACACTCAAATGGTTTCTCTCCTGTGTGGATCCTCTGATGATATTTCAGAATATTCTCTTGTCTAAAACTCTGACCACAAACGTCACAGCAGAAGGGCTTTTCTCCAGTGTGGATTCTGCTGTGGCGCTCAAGATTTGCTGCTTGAGTAAAACCTGTTCCACACAGATCACACTTGTATGGTTTTTCTCCAGTGTGAGTTCTGTAGTGGATCTTTAGTGCAGAAGCAGAGCTGCAGGTCTTTCCACACTGATCACAGGTGAACCCCATTCTGTAGATGGACTTTGTAGATCTGCAAACAAAGAGTAGAGTGAAGTATTGCATTACTTTCTCACTTTAGTCGTTTCTTACTCGATTAGACCTAAACAGAAATCACAGGTCCAGAACTGACCTTGTTGGCTGTGAACAGTGGGAGGAATTATCTCATGCTTGATCTTTTGTTATTTCTGCCTTAAACTTCTTATTACAGATTAATAGTGTCAGTAACATGCAGCTTATGGTCTCCTCACTGAGTGCACACAGGACAAGTGCGCCCTCTGCTGGCAGCAACTAACATAACAGATAATAAACTGCATATAACACGTGAACAGGACGATAATGGGACTGCTACTATGGCCCAGTCCCAATACCCACACTGCACCCTACGCCCTCCTATGAAGTGTGCATTTGTTGGAAGTGCACACCAGGGTTGGAGTGCGCAGGTTACAAGTATGCACAAAAGGCAGAATTGGGACAGTGCACACTGAGTGCAGGTTACGTCATCGACTCGTCAAGAGATGGTCATTTTCAGACCTAAACTTTATAAACATTAAAGGTAATTTTGTCTGACCCTTTGGGAAACAAAATGAATTGCTCCACACACGTTAAAATACATGTATATTAGTTGTTTTTAATTAGAGATAGCTGTATAATTTTAAGTTAAATGTGGGTAACTAACTATCTGGTCAGTTTTTATACATTCTAAGATTATTGTACTAAGTGTAAAGTTTAAATTGAATGTTATATAAACGCTTGTTTTAAAAAGTTAATTTTTTAATTAATTAAATTTTAGTTAATTAAATTGTTAAAACACAATGTCCGTAATTCTTCATCAGACGTTTATGCTTCTTTCCAAGTAACATAGCAAAACTTATTTACACACATACTGCATATATATTTCAAAATGTATATTTAAATGCATTTTCCCGACGTTTTGGTGTGTACCGCAAAGAATTATGGGCAATATCCTTCGCCAGAGTGCGCATTGATGCAGGCTACGGCAAAGTGTGGATCAGGGGCGCAAAGGGGGCGGGGCCAAAGACCTCCCTGGAGAATTGGGACACCCTACGCACTCGGACCCTTTATCGGGAACGCGCAAATGAGGGGCGCGAGGGTGGAAGTGCGAGTATTGGGACGGGGCCTATGTCTGCTTGTTGTGACTGTGATGTCTGCTTGTTGTGACTCTGATGTCTGCTTGTTGTGACTCTGTGATGTCTGCTTGTTGTGACTCTATGATGTCTGCTTGTTGTGACTCTATGATGTCTGCTTGTTGTGACTCTGATGTCTGCTTGTTGTGAATCTATGATGTCTGCTTGTTGTGACTCTGATGTCTGCTTGTTGTGAATCTATGATGTCTGCTTGTTGTGAATCTATGATGTCTGCTTGTTGTGACTCTGGTGCTTTCACACCGCCAACGCTGATACGCTGAAGCCTCGCTCACCAGACGCACATTCTCTAGTTTTCAGACGCAGGGGTCTTCAGACCGAGAAGTCTTGGCGTGCGTCGGAAGTGGTGGAGGTAGCCGGCGGGCTATGATGCTAACAAAGTTTAGCTAGCGGCTTCTTGTGTTAAGTTCTGCTCCAATAATGCAGCTTTGCAGCGTATCTGTGTTCAGAGACTTTCCACAGACTTTATATAACAGCAGTATGTGTTCACAGAGGTGACTTTATATAACAGCAGTATGTGTTCACGAAGGTGACTTTATATAACAGCAGTGTGTGTTCACGGAGGTGACTTTATATAACAGCAGTATGTGTTCACAGAGGTGACTTTATATAACAGCAGTATGTGTTCACAGAGGTGACTTTATATAACAGCAGTATGTGTTCACAGAGGTGACTTTATATAACAGCAGTATGTGTTCACAGAGGTGACTTTATATAACAGCAGTATGTGTTCACAGAGGTGACTTTATATAACAGCAGTATGTGTTCACAGAGGTGACTTTATATAACAGTAGTATGTGTTCACGAAGGTGACTTTATATAACAGCAGTGTGTGTTCACGGAGGTGACTTTATATAACAGCAGTATGTGTTCACGAAGGTGACTTTATATAACAGCAGTGTGTGTTCACGGAGGTGACTTTATATAACAGCAGTATGTGTTCACGAAGGTGACTTTATATAACAGTAGTGTGTGATCACAGAGGTGACTTTATATAACAGCAGTATGTGTTCACGAAGGTGACTTTATATAACAGCAGTGTGTGTTCACGGAGGTGACTTTATATAACAGCAGTATGTGATCACGGAGGTGACTTTATATAACAGCAGTATGTGTTCACGGAGGTGACTTTATATAACAGCAGTATGTGTTCACGGAGGTGACTTTATATAACAGTAGTGTGTGATCACAGAGGTGACTTTATATAACAGCAGTATGTGTTCACGAAGGTGACTTTATATAACAGCAGTGTGTGTTCACGGAGGTGACTTTATATAACAGCAGTATGTGATCACAGAGGTGACTTTATATAACAGCAGTGTGTGTTCACGGAGGTGACTTTATATAACAGCAGTATGTGATCACAGAGGTGACTTTATATAACAGCAGTGTGTGTTCACGGAGGTGACTTTATATAACAGCAGTATGTGTTCACGGAGGTGACTTTATATAACAGCAGTGTGTGTTCACGGAGGTGACTTTATATAACAGCAGTATGTGTTCACAGAGGTGACTTTATATAACAACAGTATGTGTTCACAGAGGTGACTTTATATAACAGCAGTATGTGATCACAGAGGTGACTTTATATAACAGCAGTATGTGTTCACGGAGGTGACTTTATATAACAGCAGTGTGTGTTCACGGAGGTGACTTTATATAACAGCAGTATGTGATCACAGAGGTGACTTTATATAACAGCAGTGTGTGTTCACGGAGGTGACTTTATATAACAGCAGTATGTGATCACAGAGGTGACTTTATATAACAGCAGTGTGTGTTCACGGAGGTGACTTTATATAACAGCAGTATGTGTTCACGGAGGTGACTTTATATAACAGCAGTGTGTGTTCACGGAGGTGACTTTATATAACAGCAGTATGTGTTCACAGAGGTGACTTTATATAACAGCAGTATGTGTTCACGGAGGTGACTTTATATAACAGCAGTATGTGTTCACGGAGGTGACTTTATATAACAGCAGTATGTGTTCACGGAGGTGCGTCATAAGTTCATTTGTTATGTCCCCCATTGTCAACCCTGGTTTAGTCCTGGTTTTGTACTGGTTTTAGTCCTGGTTTAGACCATGTTTAGTCCTGGTTTAGCCCTGGTTTAGTCCTGGTGTAGCTCCTGTTTTCTCTGATTGGTCGCTGCAAGAACGTCCCGAGGAAATGTTGAGCAGAATCCATCTCCTGTGGGCGTCGATTTTCCGCTCCTGCTTCTCCCCTTTGACTTTCCCGCGAAGTCCGTGCGTCTCTACAGAGGGTCTCTACAGAGCAGTCCGTGCGTCTCTACAGAGGGTCTCTACAGAGCAGTCCGTGCGTCTCTACAGAGGGTCTCTACAGAGCAGTCCGTGCGTCTCTACAGAGGGTCTCTACAGAGCAGTCCGTGCGTCTCTACAGAGGGTCTCTACAGAGCAGTCCGTGCGTCTCTACAGAGGGTCTCTACAGAGCAGTCCGTGCGTCTCTACAGAGGGTCTCTACAGAGCAGTCCGTGCGTCTCTACAGAGGGTCTCTACAGAACAGTCCGTGCGTCTGAGAGCCAGAGATCAGAGAAGTATTTGGTCTGGTACTGCCTCACATTCAAAGAGGAATTTGGTCTGGTACTGGCTCAGTTTCAGAGAAGTATTTGGTCTGGTACTGGCTCAGATTCAGAGGAGGAAGACACGCAGGTGTCCAGTGAAGCAGACACAGACATTATTAGTGACAGGAGCCATAAGTCCACAGTCAGCCACAGTTTACGTCCTCCGTGTGGCCACGGCGATAATGAGGTCCGGCTTTTCAGAGTCAGTGGTAAAGAGGTCCAGCTTTTCAGAGTCAGCGGTAAAGAGGTCCAGCTTTTCAGAGTCAGCGGTAAAGAGGTCCGCCTTTTCAGAGTCAGTGGTAAAGACGTCCAGCTTTTCAGAGTCAGCAGTAAAGAGGCCCGGCTTTTCAGAGTCAGCGGTAAAGAGGCCCGGCTTTTCAGAGTCAGCGGTAAAGAGGTCCAGCTTTTCAGAGTCAGCGGTAAAGAGGTCTGGCTTTTCAGAGTCAGTGGTAAAGATATCCGCACAATAGGTCCGCACATTAACTCTCATAGACGCACAGCTGTGACATGGTCATGTACCGCAGACCATAGACGCTCAGTAACGTGGTCATGTACCGCAGACCATAGACGCTCAGTAACGTGGTCATGTACCGCAGACCATAGACGCTCAGTAACGTGGTCATGTACCGCAGACCATAGACGCTCAGTAACGTGGTCATGTACCGCAGACCATAGACGCTCAGTAACGTGGTCATGTACCGCAGACCATAGACGCACAGTAACGTGGTCATGTACCACGGACCATAGACGCTCAGTAACGTGGTCATGTACCGCGGACCATAGACGCACAGTAACGTGGTCATGTACCGCGGACCATAGACGCACAGTAACGTGGTCATGTACCGCGGACCATAGACGCACAGTAACGTGGTCATGTACCGCGGACCATAGACGCTCAGTAACGTGGTCATGTACCGTGGACCATAGACGCACAGTAACGTGGTCATGTACCGCGGACCATAGACGCTCAGTAACGTGGTCATGTACCGCGGACCATAGACACACAGTAACGTGGTCATGTACCGCGGACCATAGACGCTCAGTAACGTGGTCATGTACCGTGAACTATAGACACACAGTAACGTGGTCATGTACCGTGGACCATAGACGCACGTAACGTGGTCATGTACCGTGGACCATAGACGCACAGTAACGTGGTCATGTACCGTGAACTATAGACACACAGTAACGTGGTCATGTACCGTGGACCATAGACACACAGTAACGTGGTCATGTACCGCGGACCATAGACGCACAGTAACGTGGTCATGTACCACGGACCATAGACACACAGTAACGTGGTCATGTACCGTGGACCATAGACGCACAGTAACGTGGTCATGTACCGTGAACTATAGACACTCAGTAACGTGGTCATGTACCGTGGACCATAGACACACAGTAACGTGGTCATGTACCACGGACCATAGACGCACAGTAACGTGGTCATGTACCGCGGACCATAGACACACAGTAACGTGGTCATGTACCGCGGACCATAGACACACAGTAACGTGGTCATGTACCGCGGACCATAGACGCACAGTAACGTGGTCATGTACCGCGGACCATAGACGCACAGTAACGTGGTCATGTACCGCGGACCATAGACGCACAGTATAGACCAGGGGTCCCCAATTAAATTGGCACGAGGTCCACTTACGTGATCAGTTCAATAGATCAGGGTCTGGACAGCATACGAATATTTTATTTCATAGAAATCCATTCAAAGCTCATTCAAAGCACAAACCTCTACACAACACACCACAAACCTCTACACAACACACCACAAACCTCTCCCAAACTCTCAGAGCAGAGAGTGCAACACATTAATTGTGGAGGATAAGGGGGTCTTTTTGTTCAAGTGCTTCTTTCCATCAAAGAACCTTTTTGCAATCACCTCCACACTCTGACCTCCTCCTTCTCCTCCACCTCCGCACACTCTGACCTCCTCCTTCTCCTCCACCTCCACACTCTGACCTCCACCTTCTCCTCCACCTCCGCACACTCTGACCTCCTCCTTCTCCTCCTCCTCCGCACACTGTGACCTCCTCCTCCGCACTCTCTGACCTCCTTCTCCACACTCTCTGACCTCCTTCTCCACACTCTCTGACCTCCTTCTCCACACTCTCTGACCTCCTTCTCCACACTCAGGGACCTCCTCCTCCACACTCTCTGACCTCCTCCTCCACACTCTCTGACCTCCTCCTCCACACTCTCTGACCTCCTCCTCCACACTCAGGGACCTCCTTCTCCACACTCAGGGACCTCCTTCTCCACACTCAGGGACCTCCTTCTCCACACTCAGGGACCTCCTTCTCCACACTCTCTGACCTCCTTCTCCACACTCAGGGACCTCCTCCTCCACACTCCTGACACACTCAGGGACCTCCTCCTCCACACTCAGGGACCTCCTTCTCCACACTCAGGGACCTCCTTCTCCACACTCAGGGACCTCCTTCTCCACACTCAGGGACCTCCTTCTCCACACTCAGGGACATCCTTCTCCACACTCAGGGACATCCTTCTCCACACTCAGGGACATCCTTCTCCACACTCAGGGACATCCTTCTCCACACTCAGGGACATCCTTCTCCACACTCAGGGACCTCCTTCTCCACACTCAGGGACATCCTTCTCCACACTCAGGGACATCCTTCTCCACACTCTCTGGGACCTCCTCCACACACTCAGGGACCTCCTTCTCCACACTCAGGGACACACTCAGGGACATCCTTCTCCACACTCAGGGACATCCTTCTCCACACTCAGGGACATCCTTCTCCACACACTCTGATCACAACAAGGCTTTTTATGCACTAAAGTAGGGCATACCCTGTTTACTAATGCTTTTAATATGTTTTTTGATGTGTACCTGTCTCGCTCCTCCTCGCTGCTCCTCCTCACACACCTCTGTCTCGCTTCTCGCTAATCCTCCTCCTCCACTCATACACAGCCAGTGTGCGTCCATTGCTCCGCACACAGCGCTCCGCACACAGCCCTCCGCACATAGCCCTCCGCTCACAGCCCTCCGCACACAGCCCTCCGCACGCAGCGCTCATTCCCGCCTCTTTCATGTCTCTGACTCTCACTCGGATTCAGACAATGCTAAAGTTATTTTGATAGCTCCGTGTAGTTTTCTCGAAGGACCCCACATAGCCGCCCATGCGCTTGCCTGTTTACAAATCGCTTTCGGTGGAAATTTGACACATAATTGTAATAATGTACTTTTGGACAAAAAAAACACGGAGGTCCAGAGAAAAGGGTCACGGGGTCCGGACCGCCATTTGGGGACGCCTGGTATAGACGCACAGTAACGTGGTCATGTACAACGGACCATAGTTGCACAATAACGTGGTCATGTACCGCGGACCATAGACGCACAGCAACATGGTCATTAGGCCTGTCACGATAACAAATTTTGCTGGACGATTAATTGTCTCAGAAATTATTGCGATAAGCGATTATATTGGCGTTCTGAGATCATTTGCATCGATTACAATGATCATGCAGGTACACCTTTTCAAAGAGAAATAAACTTTTATTTTTAACAAATATTTAACGCTAGAACACAATAAATTTACAAACAACCAAAAACAATAAATAAAATACTCAAGTCTCTTAACAAAAAATGACCAGGAATAAAACTGCCTGGACCTTTGTAAAGAAAATATGAAACAGATGCCTCAAATGTCAATAATTTCTCAGACTTTATGGCAGATTACGAGAAAGAAATACCAACATGTTGACTTTGTGTGGCTTAAGACACACCAGGCGAATGACAAGTGACTGACATGTGGGTTCACCAATGGGGCGTACAGAAGTCCTGCTGCGGTAGCGCCCACCGGAAGTAGCGGGGCGGGCTTTGATGCTAACAGCTAAGCTAGCGGGTTTTTTGTGTAAAGTTCTACTCCAAGAATGCAAGTCTGCAGCATCTCTGTGTTCAGAGACCTTCTAGAGACTTTATATAACAGCAGTATGTGTTCACGGAGGTGCGCCATAAGTTTATTTTATTGGTACGGTACTTCTGCATCGGCGAACGCGCTAACGCTAGCTGCGCTAGTATAGTCACTAATCAAGCCTGAATGAGAACTCAGCTGCCGGCATATGTTCACAACTACTGTGTCCCCCATTGTCAATCCTGGTTAAGTCCTGGTTTAGGTCCTGTTTTGGCTGTATTTTGTATTTTTGAGTAATTTCCGTCTGCTTGCTAGACCGCTAATGTTCCCGTGACCACTTTGCGGCTCTCTGACCCGAGAGAGACGGGGGGAGAGAGAGACGGGGGAAACAAACAAGCATGCAAATGGGATTTATCGCGGCCAGAAAAGTTATTGAGCAAATTTTATTTATCGTGCAATTAATTGATTTATTGACTATCGCGACAGGCCTAATGGTCATGTACCGTGGACTATAGACGCACAGTAACGTGGTCATGTACTGCGGACCATAGACGCACAGTAACGTGGTCATGTGCCGTGGACCATAGACGCTCAGTAACGTGGTCATGTACCGTGGACCATAGACGCACAGTAACGTGGTCATGTACCGTGGACCATAGACGCTCAGTAACGTGGTCATGTACCGTGGACCATAGACGCTCAGTAACGTGATCATGTACCGTGGACCATAGACGCTCAGTAACGTGGTCATGTACCGTGGACCATAGACGCACAGTAATGTGGTCACTAATGACTAGTTCAAAACCATCAAGGGACTAGCGCAACTCCTAGGCCTTAACGGCAAAATTTTAGGCCCTATCGGAGGGGTCAGGGGTCCCCAAATGAAAAAATCTGCCGTTATGGCCTAGGCGGCCCTAATGTAAGGGGCCTCAACGGCAAATTAGGTGCGTTTGGGCCTAGTCCTATCTTTTAACATGGGGCCAAGGGCCCTAACGGAACCCTTTCCCTCAGGGTACTCAAGACAAAAAGGTTGGGAACCACAAGTATACGCTACGGAGTATTGAGATACACTGTTGCTGTCGCTTTCCTGTGCGGTCGCTTTCTCTCGCTGCTCCTCGCTCGCTGCTTTTTAATCGCCTTTAATCATTCTTATTTAAATTTTTTATTCGACAAAACACGGATTACTCCTTTTTACAAACTTCAACACAAGACTTGTGGAACTTACAGCATGTCTGGAGGACAGAAAATGCTGACCTCGACTGGGGATATTGTCGGGCGGTGGAAGGAATACTTCGAGGTTCTGCTTAATCCCCCGTCACGTCCTCCGTCCTGGAGGCAGAGGCTGAAGATGTTGGGGAGGATACTTCCATCTCCCTGGCCGAGGTCACCAAGGTGGTTGGCAGCCTCCATGGTGGCAAGGCGCCGAGAGTGGATGAGATCCGTCCTGACTATCTAAAGTCTCTGGATGTTGTAGGACTGTCTTGGCTGATACGTCTCTGCAACATCGCGTGGCGATCGGGGGCGGTACCAATGGAGTGGCAGACCGGGGTGGTGGTCCCTCTTTACAAGAAGGGGGACCGTAGGGTGTGTTCCAATTATCGTGGGATCACACTCCTCAGCCTCCCCGGTAAGGTCTACTCCAAGGTACTGGAGAGGAGGCAACGGCCGATGGTCGAATCTCGGATTCAGGAGGAGTGTGGTTTTCGTCCCGGCCGCGGAACACTGGACCAGCTCTACACTCTCCATCGGATACTCGAGGGTTCATGGGAGTTCGCCCAACCTGTCCACATGTGCTTTGTGGATTTGGAGAAGGCGTTCGACCGTGTTCCCCGGGGTGTCCTTTGGGGGGTCCTCCGGGAGTACGGGGTCCGGGGTCCTCTGCTGAGGTCCGTCCGGCCCCTGTATTATCGGAGCCAGAGCTGTGTTCTCATCGCCGGCAGCAAGTCAGACCTGTTCCCGGTACATGTTGTCCTCCACCAGGGCTGCCCTTTGTCACCGGTTCTGTTCACTGTCTTTATGGACAGAATTTCTAGGCGCAGCCAGGGGCCGGAGGGGGTCCGGTTCTTTTTGCGGACGACGATGTCCTGTTGGCTCCAACGAACCAGGACCTGCAGCATGCACTGGGACGGTTTGCAGCCGAGTGTGAAGCGGCTGGGATGAGAATCAGCACCTCCAAGTCCGAGGCCATGGTGCTCGACCGGAAAAAGGTGCCTTGCCCTCTCCGGGTGGGTGGAGTGGTCCTTCCTCAAGTGGAGGAGTTCAAGTATCTCGGGGTCTTGTTCACGAGTGAGGGAAGGATGGAGCGTGAGATTGACAGGCGGATCGATGAAGCGTGCGCAGTGATGCGGTCGCTGTATCGGACCGTTGTGGTAAAGAGGGAGCTGAGCCGAAAGGCAAGGCTCTTGATTTACCGGTCAATCTTCGTTCCCTCCCTCACCTATGGTCATTAGCTTTGGGTAATGACCCAAAGAACAAGATCGCGGATACAAGTGGTCGAAATGAGCTTCCTCCACAGAGTGGCTGGGCGCTCCCGAATCCCGAATCTGTGGCGCACCGCCACAGATTCCAGACCGACCGCCACAGATTGCGTTTCGTTATCAACCCTCTCTGCGCCACGGTCGATTTAAGTCGACAAGCTGCGGTAACGGCTGAGTGTGTCAAACAGAGAATCAAAATTCATTCATACTCCTTGCCACTTGTTGGCAGACATGTCAGACTATCTCCCTGGTCCCAAAAAACGACACGCTCCCATACAAAATATTCGAGCAAGACCGAGGGCAGCGTGCGGGTGTTGTACCGCATCAAACACTAACTTTAGTCACTTTGCACAGAGTCAGTGTTTCTCAGAGTCAGTGCCGTCATTGGGAGGTTCGGAGATAGGCTAGATTTGCGGAGAACAACCCTGGAAGTGGCGACAGGGCAACGCGCCGCGACCTCCAGCCTCTGCTAAAGTTTCCGCTAAAATCTCCGCAAATTGTGCCTCTCACAGATGTATTATCGTGCCTCCCGCCATCACCTGGACAGTAACGGGTTGGAGAAGCCTTTGTCTTGTGATTGTTAGACGAGAGAGAGAGCAGGGGAGAGTCGCGGAGACACCCAGGCCTGGGCAGACTGCTCACAGCAGTCTGGGGCAGTCATGATTTGCATGTTTTACTATTTCCCTGAACATTTAGCAAGTTACAGTGTGAGTTCTCTTTGTGTGTTCATGTCCTAGTGATTTATATGTCTGTCAGTTAAAAAAATACAAACATTTAATGAAAATTCTAAAATCCACAATTTCCAACGCCACATAATATGCTAATAAGATGGGTACCCTTATTCCCTACATAAACATGTCTCTGAGTGTGTGTACATGTGTGTCTGTCTCTGTGTGTGTGTACATGTGTGTCTGTCTCTAAGTGTGTGTACATGTGTGTCTGCCTCTGTGTGTGTGTACATGTGTGTCTGTCTCTGTGTGTGTACATGTGTGTCTGTCTCTGAGTGTGTGTACATGTGTGTCTGTCTCTGTGTGTGTGTACATGTGTGTCTGTCTCTGAGTGTGTGTACATGTGTGTCTGTCTCTGTGTGTGTGTACATGTGTGTCTGTCTCTGAGTGTATGATATGCAGCAGTTCTGTGACTAATTATAGCAAACCTTCATATGAGATAGAATTAAAAACGTCTCTTGATAAATACTTGGGGCGGGGCCTAAAGAAACCGACGTGTGTCTGTGTGTGTGTGTGTGTGTGTGTGTGTGTGTCTGTGTGTGTGTGTGTGTGTGTGTCTTACTCAGGGTCCTGTGGTTCCTCCTTTATGTCTCTGAGCTCAGAGTCTTCCTCCAGTTTCACTTCTGCCAT